GAGGGGTGAAAAACCCCCCCCCCCCCCCCCCCTCATAGTTCTCCTTTAATAGACTCCAGGAAAGAAGACTTGTAACTCCGGGCAAAACGCTTAACTGTGGCTTTTTGAAGAAGTGGTCACGGGGACTTCTTAAGTTGTGATTGTTTTCTTAGGTGATGCTCCAGTCTTAGGCCCCATTCACACTGAGCGATTCGCAAATCGCGCGTTTGTCGCGCTTGCATTGAGCATGCTAGAATCGCGGCAAAATCCGCTCCAAAAAGGGTCCTGCTGTAGCGACACACGACCCGCGACAGCAACGGACAGAGCCCCATTGCCATGCATTGGAGAGCGATATCGCACGATAAATAGCCGTGATAATTAGCACGCGATAAATCGCTCAGTGTGAATGGGGCCTTAGACAGGCGCAGAACAAGTGCAGATGAAAGAAGTTGCAGTTGGAAAAGTAGTGCGCGCTCAGGTGAAAACGGGGGCGCATGTTGAAAGACAGATTTGCACATTAAAAAAAAATTATCTAAGAGGCTAAAACTGTCGCAATTTCTTTGATAAATTTCCCCCGATGTCTTCTAATGCGCTAAAAAAATCATCATGCTCTGGGGTGCGATGGTGTGATCGTGCCTCTACAAGGAGGACAAATGGTGAAGGATGCGCGGCCTCTGCACCATCGTTCCTCACAGAGGATACAATCTGAGTGTCTGCAGGCGGTGACGGGCGCGAGGTGCGGAGGGATCAGTTTATGTTGAAGGAATTATGGGGATCGAGGAGCCTCGTGTCCTTCCCGGAGCTCCGAGGTTCTCACGACACTCCAGTCCTCTCCTCTGGACCGTCGGGCTTTGAAGTTCTCCTCTGCAAGCCGGCTCCTGCCCCAGATCAAACGCCGCTCCGGGAACCCCCGGGATTAACTGGAGATGCTAAAAGCTCAAGGCATCAGCGCTCCGTGTGTAGATGTAAATCCGTCGCTGAGCCCCAAGCCGTCGCGTCCGCCGCCATCGCCGCTTCGCTGCCGCAGAGATGTGTTTTATTGGGAAACGATTAGACGTCATATCAGGACTTCTTCAATATTAACCGGAGGGAATCCCTTCCCCCGCAGCAGGCTCCGGACTCTCGGCACCGGCTCCTCTCTCTCCCATGTGTGTACTATGATGATTTGATATGACTTTTAAGTATCATGAATGATTACAGGGACATGAAACGCGTCTGGTGACGGCAATTTGCACCAAACTCCAAGTGGATTAAGTAAATGATGGGTGACATCAGATGCTTTACTACCGCTCTTGTAAAAAGTCTGGTTTCTCCAGTGTCCCAGAGGGTGCACCAGCCCAACCCCCATAGCACGTTGTGAGAGCAGCATTGGCTTTGCATTGGAGGACGCTGGAGTGCGGTCATGGCAGAGTTGAGGTCTCCAGTGTTTGCATATGGCAGCCTCAGTGGTCTTTACTATCCACTACTGCTGTTCCCATTATGAGGGGTTCCCACCATCCCTGTGCTGAGTTCCCGGGTCTGTGCACCCGCTGTGCCCATTATGAGGCGCTCCCGCCATCCCTGTGCTGAGTTCCCGGGTCTGTACACCCTCTGTGCCCATTATGAGGGGTTCCCACCATCCCTGTGCTGAGTTCCCGGGTCTGTACACCCGCTGTGCCCATTATGAGGAGCTCCCACCATCCCTGTGCTGAGTTCCCGGGTCTGTACACCCGCTGTGCCCATTATGAGGGGCTCCCACCATCCCTGTGCTGAGTTCCCGGGTCTGTACACCTGCTGTGCCCATTATGAGGGGCTCCCACCATCCCTGTGCTGAGTTCCCGGGTCTGTACACTTGAAGTGCCCATTATGAGGGGCTCCCCCCATCCCTGTGCTGAGTTCCCGGGTCTGTACACTTGAAGTGCCCATTATGAGGGGCTCCCACCATCCTTGCTATGTCATGATGTCTATGCAACAAGCGGACTGAATGCACCAATAGATAAGAGACCGGTGGGAACAGATCCGGCAGCTATGGCCAGTCATTGTTATTTCGGGACTCTCGGCCGGTTGATCAGTCCTCCAGGCTCCGCCTATAACTTTTGGGGTGAATGGGTTGTTTCATGGATTTTTCAGGCCGTTTCCTCCCTCTGGAGGACTCACCATTTTTCTTGTTGTCCCGGATCTCACTTTTGTGGTCGGTGGTGTGATGAGATTGGATACCCGGCAACTTCTCGGTGATACTTTTGCGCGCGTTCTCCGTCTGGATGGGTTTAAAGGGCTCTCTGCCGGCGCAGATCAGGACGCTGGGGGACTGCAGAACGCCCTGTATGGTCTCAATCTGGAAGGAGAAGACAATCATTGTATCACTTTAAGAATCGGGGATTTGCGCTGGCCGGAGGGAGTCCCCTGTCACCCCCTTAATACAGTATGTCCCTGCAGGCTGATACCATCTCTCCTGCTCTTCAACTTCCCCCTCACATGCCACCACCAAACTAGGTCTTATTTTCGGGGTAGGTCTTATATTACAGGAATCTTGAAAAATAGTGCTAGGTCTTACTTTCGGGGGAGGTCTTATTTTCGGGGAAACAGGGTACAAACTCTTGAGCCTGATGCCCAACCTGCATTAAGGTAATTGGTGATTAGGGATGGATGAGTCTGTGTGATTCTGATTCGCCAAGGGCTTGGTGGTAAATCCCATTGAAGTCTAGGGTGCGGGGGAAGGGGTGGGGGCACATCTTGTTACATTCTGACCAATTTTAGGGGTAATAGGCAAACTACTGTTCATGAGGAGCTGGAGGCACTCTGCCCTGGGGGACATGTGCCAAGGCAAAAAGCCCCGATACCGAGTATTTGGGCGAGTATTGTACGCGTCCAAATTCTTGGATACCAGAACTTCTGGTCAGAGAGAGATCTCCCTCTTTGACCGCAAGTGCCGAGGGAGCATGTTGCCGGCTACCTTTCCAATTAGGAAGCCGGCGGTGGGTTATGACCCTCCTCCCTGCTTCCTGATTGGCTAGGAAGCCAGCTTCACTTGTTGCTAGGCAGCCTGGCTTCCTAACCAAACAGGAAGCCGGGCGGCATGTAATGACCCAGCTGCTTGATTGGTCAGGAAGCAAGGCTGCCTAGGAACAAGTGAAGCTGGCATTCTAGTCAATCAGGAAGCTAGGAGGTGGGTCATGATGTGCCACCTGGCTTCTTGATTGGCTAGGAAGCCGGCTTCACATGTGGCTAGGCAGCCTAGCTTCTTGATCAACCAGGAAGCTGGATGGCACCTCATTTTCTCGCCACCCGGCTTCCTGATTGGTCAGTATGTGGTCGGTATGTGAAGCTGGTGTTCCTTCGCTAGAACACCAGCTTCACAGGCAGTTAGGAAGCCGTGCGATGGGTCATGATCTGCCGCCCAACTTCCCGATAATCTGGGCACGCGGCATCGGTACTCGGTACCGGTATCAGGGAATCTCTAGTACACTGGCAGTGCTTATATGGAGTTGATTACTACTACAAAATATAATAATACTGCAAAGGATACATGATTGTGAAGTTGACCAGAAGCATGATGGTTTTATCATGGTTAACAGGCCCAACCGGTGTATGCCTAACTTTTATTTGATCTATGGGGATAAGGAGGATACAAAAGATACGGCAGCGTGCTGCAAACAAAAGGCAGCTCCAAGGGCGGATGGTCAGTAAAAAGGGAATGATCTGCTATGAGCACCCCAAACTCAACAAAAGCCCTTATTAATATAAAATTTAAAAAAAATCAATAAAACCCAGAAGAAATGGAAACTCCGAAATACCACCCCCTGGAACAGTTTATCTAAAAACAAAATCCCTATCCACACACAATAAAAAAAACAATATACCCTCATAATAATTGAAAACCCCATAATAATACCCCCCCCCACCCCCACTTTTT